TGATTAACAAGGGATACATTAAAATCTTGAGGGGTTCACAAGTAATTGTTGAAGCCCCAAAGAGACATTGCCTGTATATTTTACAAACTGAAAATTTTTTGGAGTCCACATCAGCAGCAATCTCAGTCCAAAATGATAAGTCACAGATATGGCATAAAAGATTAGGCCATATAAGTGACAAAGGGCTACAGATTTTGAAAAAACAGGATGCCTTTGGAAATGATAACTTAGAAAAATTCAGTTTTTGTGACTATTGCATTCTTGGAAAACATAATAGATTACCTTTCTTACCTGGAATGTATAAATCTGTATCTATACTTGAATATTTGAATGCTGATCTTTGGGGACCAGCTTCTGTAACAACTCATACTGGTTTTAAATATTTTTTGTCAATTATTGATGATTTTTCTAGAAAAAATTGGACTTTTCTTTTAAAATCAAAATCTGATACTTTTGGTGTTTTCAAGAACTGGAAAAGTCTGATTGAGAACCAAACTGATAAAAATATTAAGGTATTAAGAACTGACAATGGTTTGGAATTCTGCAACCTTGAATTTGATGAGTTGTGCAAACTTTCTGGTATATTAAGACATCGAACAGTTGCACACACCCCACAACAAAATGGTTTGGCAGAGAGAATGAATAGAATGATTCTTGAAAAAGTGAGATGTATGCTCATAAGTTCTGGCCTGCCTAAGATTTTTTGGGGAGAAGCTGTTAAAACTGCTAGTTATTTGATTAACAGAAGCCCTTCTAGTGCTATACACTTTAAAACCCCTGAAGAAATGTAGAATGGAAAACCTATTGACTTCATTAACTTGAGGGTATTTGGTTGTGCAGCATTTGCACACCAATCTGAAGGAAAATTAGAACCTAGGGCCTTTAAATGTGTATTCTTGGGCTATGGTGAAGGGGTGAAGGGGTATAGGCTATGGGTAAGGGAAAACAAAGGCTATAAGATCATAATCAGTAGAAATGTGATATTTAATGAAGACGATCTACCCTGCCTTAAATCTGAAAATAAAATAGAGCCCTTGAATCAGGATGAAAATGTGGAAAACGGGGGTTGAAATTGAGGTGGAGCAATCTGATGATGAAAATCCTCAGAATACTACACAACTTAATGAGAGAAATGAGGAGATACCTGGTGATGGTGCTCATAATGATGAATCTGAAGCTGAATTAGAAATTGATCAGCCTTTAGACAATTATCAACTTGCTAGAGATAGGCAAAGAAGACAAATAAGGCCTCCTGTTAGGTTTGATGAAGATGTATCTTTGCTATCTTATCAAAGTATAATTGAGAATGAACCTGAGTCCTTTGAGGAAGCCATAAATAGTAAAGACTCTAAGGAATGACTTGCAGCAATGCAAGATGAAATGCAATCATTTAAAAAGAATAAAACTTGGGTGTTGGTAAAAAGACCAAATGGAAAAAGGGTTGTTGACTGTAAATGGATTTTCAAAATTAAAAGAGGTGAACAAAGTGAAAATGATATAAGATACAAAGCTAGACTTGTGGCTAAGGGTTTTACCCAAAAAGAAGGTAAGATTTCAATGAAATCTTCTCTCCTGTTGTAAAATTCACTACTGTAAGAGTGATTCTGGCCTTAGCCACATAGTTTAACTGAGAACTAGA